TTATTTAATCTTTCTCTGATTTTAGAAGTTTTACATGATGTTTGGTGTTTCATTTCGAATTCAGAATAATAAATTTACAGATTTTTTTTTCTTTTTTGTTAATGTCAATAGTGGATTGAAAAATAAACCTTTTATAAATATTATATTTTCACATAATTTTACATATCCAAGAGGAACTCAGAGAAGGAAATAAAGAAATAAGCTCAAACTAAGCTTCTTGCAACCAAACAACATATTAAAAAAAAAAAATTGAAATTGTTAATTATCTTAACTGTTTGATCTACCTAAAAATATACTTGTTAAAGAAAATGAATGAAACTGAACTGAATCAGAACTAGACAACGCCACTGAGTTTTTTAACTTTCTCCATTTTGTTTATTATTAGTTCCATGGAGCCAAACCTTGAGCTATAGCTTAAAGAAAAGAACTTTTCTAAGATATAGTCTACTATAAATAAAAGTCATTCGTTTTTCTTCTCCGAGAAACTTATAAGAAACTTACAATGGGCTATCTGTGCTCTGCTCACCACGGGTATCAAAACCCAGTTTCTAGCGTTGTAAGTCTGCAGACATACCGCTGTGCCACTGGGGGGGGGGGGGTTTATAAGTTAATGACGTGCTCTGTGATATTTAAACTTTACTTTATTTTATGAAAATGCAAAAAATACTACGCGAAGTATGTCTGTACTAATGAAACTAAATTAAAAATTCGAATAATTTTATAGACCTTTGTTAGCAGTGGCAATCTTGAGGGTTATAGCACTAAACATCGGGGTTCGACACTGCGGTGGATACAGTGGAAATAGTACATTGTAAAACTTTTCGCTTAAACCCCAAAAATATAGAATTCATTCTTTTAGAAATTATCTCAAACTTAAGTAAAGCACATTGAAAATATTCATAAATGGCCGACGTGAGTATTTATTTATTTTAACAAAATAAATTTTGTCATCATGCATTACTATCATTATTGTGTTCGCAAAGGATTTGAGAAAATCCTATATATCATTTGTACAGTTCCACCTTCTGCATTGGCTCTTGAATTACAGATACAAAATGTTCCTCACCCCCCCCCCTCCCCAGTGGCTCAGCGTAAAGTCTGAGTGACGTTAAAAAACGGGTTTCGATACTCGCGGTGGGAAGAGCAGAGATCCATCGTTCTGTAGCTTTGTGGTTAGCAACAAATAAAACGTACTATGAATATCACCGTCTTTTGTTTGGCTTTGATTTTTCACATTTGATGCAAAAGCTTCGATGTACTAAGTCTTATAGAAATAACGTAATATATATGATTTAAATCATAAGTTTAAGCACACTTGATAAGAACAATTTTAAGAAAAGAAACACTCAATCGAACTGATTACTTTAAAACTTTCAGCGAATAATTAAGCCGCTGAAGTTACACGTTTTTAGAGACGAAAAGAAAAATTCACAATTAATTAAGTTACCTATCTGCCATCTCAAGTAATCTTAATTAGTGCTGCTAATTATCTAGTCGTCTCACCAGGAGACACTAGATACAGAACACGTGTTTCTTTGTTGGTTCATCGTCGCACCAGGAGACACTAGATACAGAACACGTGTTTCTTTGTTGGTTCATCGTCGCACCAGGAGACACTAGATACAGAACACGTGTTTCTTTGTTGGTTCATCGTCGCACCAGGAGACACTAGATACAGAACACGTGTTTCTTTGTTGGTTCATAACAAATTTAAAATTTATTTTTAGAAGATATCGTTACGAAAATGCTTTCCTTTTAATAATATTCCAAAATCTCCAACGTATATAAAACATCTCCCATCCAGTTGATTCCTAACCGAACATTCTCATAATGTTTATAAAACGTTTTAAGTCGCTCAAAGGATGTTCTGTGAAAGTGAAAATAAATGATACCATTGATGTATTCTAAATTTCATTATTCAGGTTTTACACACTTTTTTTAATTAACTTTTTCCTCACTCCACAAAAACTACTTAGTTTGTTTTAAAGCCTTTTTTTAAAGTACTATGGATTTTTATGAGTATCAGAGCAAAGATACAATTAGTGGATTTTTTTCACGATGGAATATTATAATAAAAAATACATATATTTAGATTCGATAAAAATGTTTGGTACATTCATGAAAAATTCAATATATAAAATAAGAAGCAGTTTGAAAAATCATCTTAGCACGTTTGTAACAGATTAAAAGAACGTTCAGTCTATGGTCATTTGATTTCCGAACATCCTTTCTTATATGTGAACTGTTCTAATAAAGAGAAACTATATACAATAATAGAGAGTTCTCTACAATACTACCGAATATTCTGTTCCAAATATTTATATACTGGGAAGTATTTTCTTTTAGAAACGAACATTAATTGGAGTTAAGCTGTTTACTGTTGTGATCTATTAACTTATCTGCACAAAAAAAGAAGACAATTTTCTTCCTTTGAGACGTATGATGAGGATACATTAAAATGTTGTAATAAGAATCTTCCAAACGTGAAACGTAGTTTGTAAATAAACATACAGTATTTCTCAGAAGTTTTTAAAGCTAGAACGTTCAAACTTATACACAAGTATAACATTACTTCTGTACTTAATCAGAAGCATTTAATGACGATAAATTCGAAACTTTTACCGTTATGCTTATCATTCGATAACGGAAGAATGGTTTAGCTATTTTTTAAAGCTGAATTTCACTTAATTATTGTTTGTGCTTTTTAAAAGCTTGTGTAAATACAAATCAAAACTAAACTGAACGTTAAAAAAGAATAAAAACTGACCATCACAAGTTAGTAATTATTATACCTCAAAATAACCTTAATGAACAAACTGTAACTGTTTAATATTTATAACAACAACAAAAGAATCTACAAAGACATAAGTATGATCTTATTGCATTAGATCACATCCGATACGATAATAAGTGGAATTCGAAATGTCATCTGTGGTTTTATTTAGGTGAAAATAAAATAAATAAATACTTTTTTCATGAGAAGCGACTACTATTATGAAACACATAAAAATTCGAAAAAAAAACTTTTATTTTCAGTTATGATATTAAAAGCATTCTCAATAAGGGTAGCAAGAGTAACTTGTTACGTTTAATATTTCTATACAGATAGTCTGATAAAAAAATAAAAAATCATCACCCAATTTGCTATGCAACCAGTTCAAGAGTACCTTTATGTTTAATATTTATAAACTCATAGTCCGATAAAAGCAAATAAAATATTATTATCCCTATGCTACGTCATCAGTCCAAGAGTAATTTAGGTTTAATATTTATGTACATATAGTCCGATAAAAGCAATCGAAGAATTATTACCCCCCCCATGCTATGCAATCAGTCAGTATTATTGTTCCCAAATATATGATTGGTAAAAACTATTTACAAGTTTCATTTGTTACTAATTGTCACTGCAGGTATAACCGGCTTGCTCATAGTCAAAGTGAAAATTGGAACTAAAATAGGTCAGTAGGGTATTATTTGTAACTGCCTATAATAATGTGGAAAATAATTGATTGACTTGTAACTGAATCAAAAATTAATACGTCGCATGTCTTTGTTACACTCTTATATTTTGAGGAACATATTTCTTATTTCAATGTTGTGTTTGTGTGAAGAGAGAAACCTGTTTTTTAATTCTTTGCTGTCGATCAAATTTTTATTATTATTTTGTTTTTCTTTACACTGTTGCTTATCATTTACGATCATTTTCCTCAATAAAGAAAATAATTTCACGCAAACTTAGCATGTATTTTCCCGTTACTTGGGTTATAGCTTCAATAATGGATTTTTGGAACCAAGATAAACTCTCTCTACCCCGAATGGTTATTATTTTATGATTATATTTATGTTCAAGAAGAGTATAATTAAAGGTTTAAACAACTTTGATAGCTAATGGATTCGTTGTTGGGACACCAGCTTTGGTGAAGGTTATATTCGGTGATTCTTTGTTTACTTTCAGATTTTACGGGCTTAAAAACAGGTAACTGAAGTACAAACACGTGAAAGTTTTATATATATATACAACCATTTTATTAATATTACCTATTATTTTATTTTTTTGTTCTCGGAAAAATTCCAGTTAGTGGAAGTCTTCAAAGGTTTTGTTTGTTTGTTGTTAAGTGCAAGACTACACAATGGGTTATCAGTGCTGTGCCCACCACCAGTATCGAAACCCGTTTTTTTGTTGTTAAGTGCAAGACTACACAATGGGTTATCAGTGCTGTGCCCACCACCAGTATCGAAACCCGGTTTTTTGTTGTTAAGTGCAAGACTACACAATGGGTTATCAGTGCTGTGCCCACCACCAGTATCGAAACCCGGTTTTTTGTGGTATGAGCCTCAGACTTACAGGTGAGCCACTTGAGGTGGTAGTTGGGCGTCTTCAAAGGGAGCTCCATATAAATAATCCGTTGCGATTAAAAAATAATACTCAGATAGCTATACTTTTCTTCCAGATCTAACTAAATATTTCACCACCCAATTATATAACGTTTTGTGTAACATTTCTAGTTTTTTATTTAGTTATAAGATAAGTTTTGTTGAGTGTTCCTTAGGAAAAAAGTAGCTTATTATATTATTTTACATTTATCGCCCTTTTATTTTATTATCTGATTCACTTTATTTACAAATATCATTATTCCTTTGTGTAAGTAGACGCCTCAGTACTATATTTTATTAAGTGACATGTAAAAGTGTTTTTAGAACATCTGTACAAATGAACATTGTATGTATATAATTCACAGTTTTGTTCTTGAAATAATCTACCAATCCCATGTGTGTATTAGTGTGTAGTTAACTATATATATATATATGCATATATTAAACATTTACAAAAGTGAAATACGTAAACGCCATTGTTATTTTAACGCATCACACTGTTGTCTATGGTGCAGCTTGATAACACCTACTTTTAGAAATCCCAAGAATTATTGAGAAATGCTGACGAACGTTTTACATTCGAATGACAGAAAGAACCATCATACACACATACACACACACACACGTTTCTTGCTATTTTACCTGCTTTATTTTGGTCGTTTTTGCCAGGTTTTACAATAAGCTTTAACCTGCAATAGACATTCTACAAGTATCCAATACGCAGCAAGTTCGTGCCTTTACTAAAAAAAATGATAATGGAAAGTTATTGCTGTAAGTGCACTACTTCATTTGACTATCCCAAACCATAACAATTGAATACAAACAACAGAGGGCAGTATTTCTATTCATTCTTTGGAATTCAGAGGTCAGTATATCTTACTCACGTTTTGTAATCCACAAGCCAACATTCCTATTTATGCTTTAAAACTTATCCTTTAAAATTCTGAAACAAGCATCCTCACGCACCTTTGAAACACAAACCAGCATTCCTCCTCACTCCTTAAAACAGTGATTTTCAAACTTTTTCGTCCGCGAACCACCTACCGATCTCACATCATCTGTTCTCTCATATGGCCTAGGCCGTAGCATTTTGGACCAGCCTGTGGGCCGCAGACCACACTTTGAGAACCAATGCCCTAGAGTACAGAGACCAGTGTCCCTCTTCAGCATTTGAAATTCAGTGAACAGTATTTCCACTCAGTTCTTGAAATGCAAAGATTGACATGCCTACGAACCATTATAACCCAAAGTCCAACATCACTTTGGACACTAACTAACCATACAGGTAAAAGAACTAGTCCACAAAACACACAAAGATTTGGCTTGATGATATAAATATATGTAAAAAATACTACAGGAACACTTCTAGGACTAGATTGCCATACTTCTGTAAAGACGATATGCCATGCCTCATATCAAATTAAAAACTTTCCCACTGTTTACATAATTTCAGCTATTTTGGAATTAAACACAATATTCTTGGAAACTACTAGGTAGCCTTACAAATGAAAAAGTATAACTAGATTTTTTTTTGTGAAGAATGTATTACATTACTATATTTATTTTAAACTACAAAAATACCGTATTTTCACCTTTCGAGTACAGCTACATATATTTTACAGAAGAGACATTCAAACACTAATATAGATTTTTTTTCTGTGTTCAGTAAAACCTCTATTAGATCTTAAATAACTTGATGTAGACCATCAGGGTGACGTTAAAAATTCTACAAAGGTATATTAAAGTAAATATAACATAATAATGTACTATAACTCTTACAATCGTTAGCTTTTTTACATCAAGCTACATTGCAGAGTAAAGAAAAGTTGTGTTGTGGTCGATAAGATGTTAAGATATAACGAAAAGAAGACGTGGAATTATGGCACATTTCTGTCTTGAACAATCAAATCAATACATTATGATCTTAATAACTTTCTGAAAGCATAATTGTGAATACAGGTTTAAAGAATCTTCTTCCTCTTTAAATTTTCCAAATGATAGGTTAATTATTAAATCTACAATAAATTGTGTATCTATATACAAATATTATTAATATTATTCATAATATTTGTATATAGATACAAAATTTATTGTAGATTTAATAACTAAACTATTGTTTTTTGTTTGAAAACCACGTAATCAAGTCAGTTACCCAAATAAACCTAATGAAAATATGAATGCATAGTAAAATTATAAAAAATTTACAGACGTTGAATAAAAAAATGTCGTTGTGTAATGTCCAGCCTGTTAATTGTAACGTTTAAAAAAAGATGTATTGATATAATACAACTTGCAATGAGAAAGAACAGTCATTAAACATTATTAAATGACTTTGTATTTCTTGTTTAATATGTATACTAATTTTCAGATACAGACGTAATTAGTGAACGTTGAAGTTTTCTAGGCGATGAGATCTTTTGACTTTTGTCGCTAATGATAAATTATCATTACAGATTTGTATCTTAAATGATTTTAAACAGAAGAGTTTAAGTAAAACAATGAGAGTTATCAGGTAATGCGGGTACAAACATAACATATAAGTTAGTAACATAACATTGCAATAAACCTAAGAAAACCAAAACACAAATTGTGCGCATTCTAAATACAGATTATTTACCTGAAGACTTATCAACCTAGAACTCAGGCAATCTAAATCAAACTCTTTTGCGACCAATACCATAGGATCTCTATCGTTTTTTCATTGGTATTTACATCTTTAAAACACATTGGGGGACGGGTGTACACTGGTTGTGTGTTAGAACCCAAGGCAGAGTTGTACTCTTTTGCACACACACACACACACTCACCAAGCACCTTACTTTCTCATTGTCAAGAGTTGTTTAAAAAAAGAATTATATTTTCTCAATGATGATATTTGTTTTTGAATTTAGTTTTCGTATGAATATGAGTAAGTCTAGAAAAGGTTCGTTCATTACACCCAAACTATACAGATAAAAAGAAAAGTAATTTTCTGTTTTTTTAATCTTGACATAATAACGTAAATGATTATATAAACCAATCTATACGACCACTGCATAATCATCACAATATTATAAAAATGGTATAATGTATACTGATATTTAAGTAAAAAAAAAGAGGAATGGCCAACATGTTTATGAAACTAAGCTATAACATGAATTTTTTTTTATTATAAATTCATATATCAAACAATCATGTGCTGATGACTATATTTGGTCTAAATGTTTCTTCATCAATGAGCCACAAATAGTAATATGCCCTAACAGATAGGACGAGTGTAAAAACACACTAAAACAACTAATACAAATAAGAGAGCTATCTTCCTACAAAAATAATAATTATTTGACTCATTCTATATAACTCCACCATGTTTATGGCTCAGCTGTACTGTGACTGCTCTTTTGAACTCTAGATCTTGTAGAAAGATGGGGATACTATGGTAGTGTGTGTGTTAAAAAGAAACAAGACACACGGGATGAGTGCACAGATAATACACAAGGAATGTCCAGAAAACATACTAGAAAACTTTTCAGCATCACTGCTTGCAGCATAAGAGAAACGATTTTCCTTTAAGGTGGGTTTAGTTAACAGATATTGGTCAGGTCACAGCAATTACTAGTTCGTTACCAACTTTCTGAAAGTCTTGAAACATATAAACGAAACTTTTAGTTTTTTGTTTTATTTCAAATCTGACAGGAACATGATCTCCACCTGAGGCAGTCAATAAGTTGTAGAATGCAAGGAACCTTGGCGCACTGAGGTATTCATGCTGGCTCTCATCTAAATAATTGCCCTAACTACAACAAGACAGCTTGCTCTAGGAGCCCAGACACATTGGTTGAAAGATTGCATCTTCTTAATGCTACTTGCAAACATAGCTATGCCAGTTTTCTAATACATATACAATGTCAGTTGTTTTGTTTTTTTGTGGTAGTTGTTTATTATTGGTCAGTCTTGCCCTGCATATGTCCTAAGGGCACATAGTGGAAGCTTTTCCTGATACAACATTAGCAGGAATTGAAAGATCTTCAGCTTCTTCAATGTGTACTGGTATTTCTCCTTCTTGGCCTTGACCACTGTCTTCCTCAAAATGATGGAATAATGAAGATTGTTGGTGCTCATTAGAGATGTCCTCACAATTTGGATGATTTTCAAGAAACTTTTCTTGTTTAATGTGAACTTCATTGTCTGTGTGGCTGAAAGAGAACAAACCAAAAAGCTAAACACAAGTACAGATCACAACACATTGGCTGTTAAAGTAGTTATTTAAAATATTTTATTAAATTGTTAATCTAACCTTATCTGATACTAGGAAATCTCACTAAGTAAAGGAATAAATTTTTTTAAGATGCCACAGTTTTATTATAAAGCTTAAAAAAATAATTTTGGAATATTTAAACCTTAAAAAAGGTGAATTTTAAATGTAAATGTCATAGTATGTTATATTTCATGAAAAAAATCACTATTAGCATTTTACCTTTTTGATCTTTCATTGTTCAGATTCTGACTAACCATTTCCATCATATAGTGATCTCCTTCAATTACTCTGTTCATAGCTGAAGAGGGGCTAGTGGAGCTTGATGTGAGTGTAGGAGTAGAGGTAGGAGTAGAGGAAAAGGTAGTACCCCCAGAAGCAGAGGTGGTCAAAAAGGCCAGGTTACTTTCTGCTAATGCTGCCTGAGGAGTAAAAGAATCCTGCCGTTTATTAAAGATATATATTCATACAGGTACTGACTTTGGTCACATGACAACATGCAACTCAATCCAACATCTGATACACAAGCTTATAATAGATTATAATTAACGTCAAGTAAACAACTGTTACGTCTGTGTTCGTTTGTTAATTTCCCATATAATTTCTTTCGGATGAAACTTTAGTGACACAAGTTCTTTCTTAAATAAAAATAGTTTATTCTTTCTCAATACAACTTTGCAATACACTTAATTTCCACGGTCACTTTAACTTAAACACAGGCTATAATTCACAACGATTTACACACTTTACTTACGGCTTGACTCGATTATCTGTCTCTATCTCCCTGTCTGCCTTTCAATTAATTATCTCGCTTTATTTGCCATGCTTATATACAAGAATAGAGGGTGTCTAAAATGCACTCGCCTCTTCATGAACCTTCTAGACACTTATCACATGTTACCAGCGTCACGTGATCTCAGCTGTCATATCACAATGAATTCTAGATTCAACATGTTGGTTTTTGTGGGTATATTAAATAATGGATTTCATTTGCTTATTGTAAATTTGTGACAACTAACCAGCAATGAGAGAAACACATTGTTTAAATATGAAGATGTCAATTATACAACACTTCTGTGTTTGAATTAAAATAAAAAAGCATATTTTGCTTGGATCTTTCAATATAAAATGAACTATAATTGCTTTGTAAAGTTTAAAGATAGCATTACATTTTAAAGAAATTAAAAACACTTCTGGTTTCTGTTATTCATGTATAATATTCTTCCTATACTGAAATTACAAAATTATATTGTGTTGGAAACTTTAATAAATGTTCAAACCCTTTATGTTAGTGAAAGGATAAAGAGTCAGAAAATGTAAGCCCATTAAGGCTACAATTAACAAACAGGAAATCAATATTAGTATCAGGATCCTGAGACGAAAAATTGATTATTTAATGATCCTGTAAATCTACTCTACAAAATAGAAAGAGATGAGAAAACATAATTTATTTGGAATTAGACAATTTTTATAAACACACACAATTTCTAAGGTACAACATGTTTGTTCTTTTACCTGTAACGAGGCGGTAAGGTTTTCGCCATAAAGACCAAGACTCTGGTGAAGAGTTGGACTTTTTTGGCCAATAGAGGGAGCTTGTGTGGTGGTAGTTTGAGTTCCCATCTGAAGCCTAATTCAAAGAATAAGGATGTATAATATGCATATACAATGTACCTGATATTTTGTTAACACAATTAAATACATAAACAATGTTATTCCAGGAAAGTTTGCCTTTATTTAGTAACAAATTTTAAATGTTTCAATATTTTTAAGATGATTGATATGAAATAAAAAATTACATTCTGAATGATAATAAGTGTGCATTTTTAAAAATGTGAACTTCCTAATATATATATTTCTATGACTTCCAAAACTTTTAGACAACTGGTCTTAGACATTTTAAAAGGTCACTGATAAACCCACAGTAATGATTTTCAGTCAACAACATTTTACTTATTAAATAAAAGCTTTGCCTACAAGCATTTTAATGGCATTTCTAGCTGCAAAATTATAAAACAATTCTATCTATAGCTTGGAGCACTAATACTACAGAAGAGCAGAACATTACCATAGTAACCAAGAAGTTCTACACCATCTGGACCTAACTTGCAGATCTGCTACATTTTCAGTTACAGGAGTCTGCTTTTTTTTTCATTAAACTGAAATGTTCTTAGGGGAGAGGTGAGAGATAGACAAAGTGTAGACTGGTAAAAGGACGAGAGGTAGCCTCATGTACTAATAAAGCATAATTTATAAAATTAAACCAATACTATAAACACACAAACAAACAAAAAAAACAGAATATAAAGCCAAAAATATAACATCTACTCAACCACAACATTAAATAAGATAAAAGAAATTATATGACTAAATAGTTTTCTGCATGCAAATATAGTACAGGTATGAAGTTGTTGATTTTATCATTGCTACTAAAATAGATTAGATAGCAGCATAGCCTACTTCACAATGTGCACCAAATCAGCATTCTAGTGCATCTTAGATTAAAGCAACGTATCATTCACAAAGATAAGTAAAGAGAAAGAAAAAGGTAAGCTTACTGTGTGGAGAGGGTGTGGTTGGGTTCAGGGAATTTTCTGGGCCGGCCACGACTCAAATGTCGTCTCTTTACAAACTCACGGTCATCCACCACCCAGAAGGACCCGAAGTCATCTTCGCAGCGCAGAAAGCACTTATGTAGTGAGAGATTGGTGCGAATTGCATTCTGTGCAGAGATGGGGAGGAATGCGGGAGGAAGCAAAGGAAATGGGCATTGTTAATTGTGCAAAAAAGGAGACGTGCAACAAAGTGGAAAAGTTAAAAAAAAGTCAATATTGTGAAAAAGAAAGAAATTCAAGCCAATCAACCAGACACGAAAAGCAAAGAAAAACACAAAGCAAAGTTAGCCAAGATAATCATGAAGCACATAAAAACAGATATAAAGTTCATGGATGTAAGTAACAGCATTAAAAAAAATACCAATACACATCAAAATGCAATAAAGAACAGGAGGAAAAAAGGGAAGGAGATAAGGGAAAAGAGAGAAAGAGAGAAAAATATGTTATAAAGTGCGCCACAAAACACAGTGGACATTTGTCAAATAAAAGAAAACACATACCCTGCAATACGCTCCTGAATTCTTTGGGGCCGTCGTTTGTAGAATTCTAGTTCATCCACTGTCCAGACTGCCCCTTTAACATTCTCGACACGCATAAAACATTTGTGAAGGCTAAGGTTGTGACGCACTGCATTCTGACAAAATAGTGGAAAGAGATATTTGAAGATTTTACACCTTCTTGGTTAGTAAAGAATGATTTGGGTGAGACCTGAGTGCAAGGTTGCTATCAGATTGAATATAACATACACGTAAACTCAAGCCTGAAATGCAAATTTGCAACCTATATAAAAATTGGAGCTGTCTATGACCTAAAGTGTTATTTTACCTAACACCACATATCTGATGGTAAACAGTTAACTAATACTAATCAATTATATATTATAAAAATAGCATATATTACCTAAAGTAGCTTTAAGTGTATTTATATAACAAATGATATTTGTATTAAACAAATACTTTTTTCTGACACGTTGTTAGCATCACTGCTGTGAATATTGAATAAAACAAGGCAAGAAAAAGAAATTGCTAACATGTTACAGCCTTACTCTACAAAGGGTAAATTCTGTTGTTTTACTGATAAACAGCAATATTGTTTAAATAAAACTTGAAATAAAAAACAACATCAAATATATATATTTTACCCTACAGCTCATAGTATTTTTCTAAAATTGAAACACTAGTAACAACAATTTTCATATGAAGATAAATAATAGTAATTTTGCTATTGTGTTTATTTTATGTTTTAGTGCAAAGCTATACATCTGTGATGTGTTTGTTGCAATATAAACTATTATGCTTCTGCTGAGCCAACAATGGACTATTACTATTATGAAAAATCTGTACTTGACTGTATAAAAAAATAATTAGATATGTATAAAACAAATTCGACATGAAAGTTTACCAAACAAGCACTACACAGCTTATTGGATAAAATACAAAATTTGATCAAAATTACTTGAGATTTCACCTACATGTTATTGTAAAGTATTTTTGATTGTGACATCCAGTGGACTTGTAATAAAATGTTGATGACCTTTTCTATGCACATTGCATTATTAGAGTATTAAGCTCTATCAAGTTTCTTATCTGAAATAAACTAATTAGTCTTTGGTCTAAAATATTCATATACAAGTCTACAGGTGAAGTAACTGGTTTGATGAGTCAATACATTATACAGGAATCATGAAGTTATGATGGCTGGAATAATATCAAAATATTCAATGGCTGCTTTTACTTCACAACTAACAATGAAAATACAAGCTCAAAAGAGTAAAAATAAATTGAGAAACATTTGCTACTGAATATATAGTCTTAACAGAGATAAAGAAAAATAATGAATGAGCACCAAACTTGAAAACAATGGATTAAGACATTAATATCTATTAACAAATCTTAATGTTAAATTAAATCTATTACAGTCAATAATATATTTTATTACGCATGTTCTACACTGAAGAACAAGTGAAATACATTACCTTCCAAGTAGCTGCATTCCTGCGGAAGTAACAAAAGGTGTTTTGAAACCAACTATAGATTTCATTCAAAGTCAGCTGTTTTTCTGGAGATTCAATAATTGCCTGCAAAATGGTTTTAGTTTTTAAAGTATAATAAGTATTTTTTGGTATATCATATATGTATATACATTATAACACATTTTAATTTTTATATATGTTGTAGTAATAAAGTACATTTATAGGTATTTACATCAAATTCTTTTTTTTTCTATACCTACATAAACATTATGCCTTCACTTCAGTGGCTTTGTCTTTGATTTCAATATTCTTTAACTGATTTATTTAGAATCAAATGTTTAGAAAAAACTATCAAAATGGTGTAAATGTAGAATTATAGTTTAAAAACTATGCACGTCTTGAGCATTGTAAAATGTGAAAATAAACAAACATTATTCCACTGTGAAGGAATAAGCATATTTTCATTTAACAAAATAAATATATTATCATAACTACTATCTATAATTTATACACTTATTATTTACAGAGAAATGAGTTACTCATTTTATAGCAGTATCATATTATTTACTAGAAATTTAATGCAAGTAAGTTAACAAACCAGTTGTTTTATAAACATGTAAATACTGCTTGGTGAAATTTACTGACCTGTCGAATCAAGGAGGCATATGTGAAAGGTGGTCTTACTTCAGCATTCTTGTAAAATTCTCTATTCCTCTGAATTTCTGATATGTGGAAAAATTATCAAATAAAAGTTTAAATGTTTCAGAAATATTAGGTTAATATTTGACACATGTTTAATAATAATATCTTGATATCTTCGATTGAAAACATTTTGTATATGCTTTTCATTAAAAAGTCATTTCTTTTGTATATATACAATATTTTAGGAACTTGAAATAATCTCAGATTCTGGCTGTTTTAACTAACTGGGTCCTCAGTAAATTTTATTTGTTCAATGAACACCTTCATCATTGAAAGGATTAAAATGAAAGTACAAAGATTTTTATTATTTCTATGTTGTTAAAGAACTAGACAATAGTTAGATATGCCATACCAGAAATACTTGAAAAGATGCAAGCCTTATTCGTAAAATCTATAAAGCAAGAGCATTGTTTAGTTATTGTAAATTGTGGCCCAAGAAACTTATCACTGTTGTTTAAAAAGCCACTTCTGTAAGGGAATTGAATTATCTGTTTACTAACTAGATAACCTTTCCTGAACAAACAACTGCAAATGACTTATACCTTGGAAATGTATATCATGTCTACCACAGCTATCATGAAATAACTGCATTTGTCAACATTCCTGACATTGAGCATCCTATAGGAAATGTTAGAATTGACCTGAATCATGTAGATCTTTATTCCTTGTAGTAAGTAGGAAGATTGATAAAATAAAAAGGATTTGAAAAGAGATCAACAATCAAATATGTAGGCCTCTCTCTATATTAATTTTGGTAGGATGTGTTTGAGGACTGAGGAAATGATGACGTCACTCCTTTTTTTAAAGGCATTGATAGGAGTTACTCTGAAAATTTTAGGTTAGTTAGAACTATTTCTATAATGGGAAAAATCCTAGACAGTCTGATAAAACAAGCTTTGCAAAATCATTATTGAAATGTTCTGTCATAAGAGAAGGCTAACATGGATTTACAAAGGGGGAAATCTTGCCTCACTATGCTATTAACTTTTTCAATTGTTACTTGTTGAAGAACGATTGAAGGGGTGTGTAACTGGTGGATTTAGATTTTCAAATAGCTTTTGATAAGAAGTCACACAGAAGAGTAACGAAAAATGATGTTGATAGGGGTTAGAAAGGTACTAGTTAATTGGACCTTAGGATTGTTAGATGAAAGGAAGCAAAACTGGATCCTTATTGTCAGTGTGTGAGTCTTTGCCTATTTATTTGTATTAATGATATTAATAAGGAGATATTTAGTAAAGTTTACAGATGACATTAAATCTTGGCCATTTCTTGTTATATTGAGGCACTACATAATGACTTAGATCAATTGGTAAGTTGTACAAATATTTAGTAAGAAGATTTGAATAATAGTAATTCACTTGGGTGACTTTGAATAATAGAAACATTAGGCAATTCACTTGGGTTATCATGAACCAAGGTAGTGGTTCATAATATGGATCTCCCATTTGTTCTTTATTATTATTTAATATTGTTCCACCAGCCTACAGCAAAAATGGCTGTGAGTATTGTAATAACACCTGGTCAATATTACTAAATGCATCATTGCACATAGTATATGGTAGTTTTATGTTTATTTGACTATCTAGCAAATAACAGTGGTTGTATAACTATTGACACCCAATCGTTTTAATGTAGTCTGTGGTTTATGTGAAGCCTCATAATCTACTACATTTCCTCAAGCTACAAGTTCCTATTTTGACTCCATGTCTTAAAGCTGTAACATTTAGGAGAGTCAAAATATGGATTTATAGCTTGAGCAAATAATGTCAACACTATGGTTAAAATCTTAAGCTTGTTTGTTTACTTTTTTTTACCATTGCATTTTCACTTTAAGCTACCTATCTTGTTTCTGTAACTTTTTGAAAATCCCTATTCCCTTTTTTTAAATAAGTAATTTTTAATAACCTTGTCATAAGTTTTAAAACACATTTAAATATACCTGGACACCCAGGTGTGGTCTGATGGATAATTAAGTCACTCAAACCATCCAGACTATACTCTGTTTCTAGTATTAAAGCTTATAGAAAGTTAGGGTGTATACATAGTGTTACGACAGTGGAAGTCACGTGACGCTGGTAACACGTAATGAGTATCTAGAAGGTTCCTGAAGTCTCGAGACACCCTATATTTTGTATATATAAGACTGGCAAATAAAGAAAGGGAGATATAGTTGCAGATAGAGAGATTGAAGATATAGAAACAGATCTTCGAGTCAAGTGAGCACCGTAAGTAAAGTGCATGAATTGTTGTGAATTATAGCATGAGTTTAAGTTAAAGTGACTGTGGAAATTAAGTGTATTGCATAGTTGAATTGAGAAAGAATAAGCAAGTTTTATTTAAGAAAGGACTTGAAAGTTTCTCTGGAAATAATTTCTACAGAAAATTAACAAACGAACACAGACGTAACAAATTGGTGTCAGAGAGTGGGACAAAAAAAAAAGAAGATGGAAACGAGAGGTGGCAAATCAAACTACAGTTTAGCAGATTTGATGGCAGCAATACAAGAACAGCAAAATAAACAAGAAGAACGAGAAAATAAACAAGAACAGAGACAACAGCAGTGGCAAGAAAACCTGCAACAGTGAGATGGGAAAGTGACGACATGGCAAATGGTTATACCGAGAAAGTTACGGGAAGTTGTGCTGCGTCAGTCTCATGATAGTTTAACAGGAGGACATCTCGGAGTTAAGAAGACATTGAGTCACCTACGGACAGAGATTTTACTGGATAGGTATGAG